ACAAATGCTGGTGGGGGTGTGGACAGAAAGGAACCCTTCTCCATTGTTGGTGGGAGTGCAGACTGGTGCAACCACTGTGGAAATCAGTGTGGAGACACCTCAAAGAACTAGGGCTGGAGGTCCCGTTTGACCCAGCTATTCCCCCGCTGGGTATTTTCCCAAAAGAATTAAAAGAATCATACCACCGAGATATATGTGTACCCATGTTTATATCAGCAGTTTGTAATAGCTAAAGCTTAGAAACAGGCCAAGTGCCCATCAACTGGAAACTGGATAAAGATGTGTTTTTTTGTAAAATGGAGTACTACTCAGCCATAAAGAATGAGAAACTAGAGTCATTAATAGCTAAATGGATGCATATTGAGGCCATACTCTTAAGTGAAATAAATAGGTCACACACATGTAAATACCAAATAGATTCTCTGGTGTGAGAAACTGAAAGTGCAAATAAGGTTCAAAATGTATAATAGATAATGTGAAATAGGAAGAAAAGGTCCAAGGGGAAGGGGAAGTAGGAGGGATAGGGGAAAGAAAAGAAGGGAGAGGAATAAATATGAGAAAAGGAAAAAACGGAAACAAAGTCTCTGTAAACAGGGAGGGGTGGAGGGGTTGAATGGAAGGCAGGGGAATGGGGAAAAAAATAAGAACCAAGATATATTATGCAAAGGTACAAACTCCCAATAACCAATGTCGGCATATTGTATAACTAAAATGTACCCATAAAATTAATGAGAAAAAAATCGATGATATACAACTAGAAAGTAAACACATAACAAGATGCTCAACACTATTAAGGAAATGCCAATAAAAAGCACATATCACGGGCTGGGAATTTAGCTCAGTGGTTTCACCACCTGCTGCACAAGCGCAAGGACCCAAGTTCAATCCCCGGTACCAAAAAAAAAAAAAAAAATGCACGTATCAGTACCTATTAGAATGGCTAAAATTAAAAAGATTGACCATAGCAAGTGTTGGCAAGGACACAGAGGAACCAGAAACTTTATATACTTCTGGTGGGAATGTGAAAAAGTACAGGCCCTTTGGAAAGTTTGCCAGTAAAACAACACCTACCATACAACAGAACCTTTCCATTCCTAGGTATTTGTCCAATAGAAATAAAAGTATCCATCAATGCAAAGGCTTATACAGAAATGTTTACACCATTTCACATCCAACAGGTTAGGGGATAAACAGTGTATGCCCATTTGACAGAATACTGACACGCAATAACAAAGTAATAAACTACTTATACATACTATGACAACTTTCAAAAGAATTATGCTAAGTGCAATAATTCATACAAAAAAGAGTACATACTGAATCATTCTATTTCCCTAAAATTCTCAAAAGCATAATCTACAGTGGCTGGGTAGAGTCAGAGAGGGAGAAGGGAATAATGTAGATGTTCGTTTTCTTGATTATGATGACAGTTTCATAGGTATACATGTATGCCAAAACTTATCAAATTATGTAAGTATATGTAATTGAAGCTGGGCATGGTTTCAAGCATACCTGAAATTCCAAAACTCTGAGAGGCTGAGACAGGAGGATTCCAAATTTGAGCCCAGCCTGGGCAATTTAGCAAGACTGTTTCAAAATAAAAAATTTTAAAAGGTTGGGGATGTAGCTCAATACAAAGAGCCTGAGGTCAACTGCGAGTACCACACAAACACCACAAAAAGGTATGCAGTTGATATGTCAATTATACATCAAAAAAGCTAGTAAAAAATGATATTTGTTTTTACCCTTAAAGCTGTCATTTGTTATGGCTTGTGTCTACATGTCCCCTCAAAGTCATAGATGGGCCTTTTTCAGAGGTGGCTGGATCAGAGTGTATGATGCTGAGATTAAGGGTGTGTGATTACTAAATTAATCCACTGATTGGTTCAGCATAGTTCTGAGTGTGGATAATGGGAAGGGCTACCCGGGATAAAAGTGCTACCTGTCCTAAGTGTCTGTTGCCTAGATAGAATATAAGGGATAACAAGCTACCATCTTTGCTGCTTGCTGCTTTACTTCTTCACTATTATGCTGCCTTCTGCTCACCATGAACTGTTTTCCTTTGAGATGTCCCTCTGCCATGCTACCCTGCTTTGAAGCCAGCCAACTATGAACTGAAACCTCTACAAACTGTGAACTAAATACACCTTTCCTCCTTTAACTTTGGGTGTTGGATATTTTGTCTCAGCAAAAGAAAAAGTAACTAAAACAGCATTATATACTTGTGTTATGGCTTAGATCAAGAATGTCCTCGGGCTGGGGATTTAGCTCAGTGGTTCTGCTGCCTGCCTCACAAGTGCAAGGTCCCAAGTTCGATCCCCAGTACCAAAAAAAAAAAAAAGAAAGAATGTGGAGTGTGGTGGCGCATGCCTCAAAATCCTCCTGCCTCAGCCTCCCAAGTACCTAGTACTACTGGTATGTGTCCCCATACCCTACTAATTTTAGAGAATTTAAAATCAAAATGGTAAGGTTGGAGATGTAGCTCAATAGTACAGCACTTACCTAGCATGTGCTAGGCTAAATCCCTAGCATCATTCCCCAAAAATTTTTTTTATAAAATTCAGGAAGGATTTAGGGAATCTGTTATATTAAGAAAACAAATCTCTAAAGCCATCTTTACTAAAAGAAAAATTTAATCTGTTTTAAGCCCAATCCACTTGCCACAAAAAGATTTGAATTCTTTTGTTAGGTTTGGTAAATGAGCCAAAAACTAGAAAATAAACATTCTTTTTTTTTTGGTACCGGGGATCAAACTCAGGTCCTCGCTTGCAAGGCAGGCACCAGAACCACTGAGGTAGATCCCCAGCCCTAGAAAATAAACATTCTTAATGAGTATATATTTAAAATTTTCACTATGCTGGGTTTGTATAATAATTAGGAAAAGAAATGCCATGCAGCTCACTCACCTGTTTTGTTCCTCCAGTTTAGCCAGGAGTTCTAAATCGTCAGGACTTAACTGTGATGGAGAAGATGGTGAAAGGGCTGGTGTTGACAATGTGGTAGATGAGGATGTAGTGTGTAATGAAGCAGCTGGACTTGCCACCTGACTGGCCATCTGACTGACTGTATGGGATACTGTGTTCTTTACCCATGAGAGAGTAGAACTCAGCTTCTCTGCAACCTTGTCTGTCGCCACCTAAGGATGAAAATAAATGTAGCATATATTTTAGTGTTAGTGCATTTATTAACAAGAACTTGATAATCCTGTTACATTTTATTTAAGAATTATCATCAGAATGTTCTTCTGAGATGATAAATGTAAAACCTTTTAGCAACCATTACCCTAACATCCAGGTTTTGGAAACTGGCTATTTCAAACTACATGTTTCCAGCCTGAACAAACCAGAATAGGATTTCTCAAACTGCAGGCTGAACACCCCATCATGTAAAAACAAAACCACTTTCACAGGTATTACCAGCATGTTTTAAAAATGCAAAACAGCAGAAAATATCAAAGTAAGAATAAGTGCTCATAAATTTTTCGTTTTAGTTACATACATATATTAAAAATACAGACTACAAGGCTGGTCATGGTGGCACACGCCTGTAATACCAGCACTTGGGAAGCTGAGGTAGATGGATTTCCAAGAGTTCAAGGCCAACTTGGGCTACACGGTAAGTTTAAGGCCTGTCTAAACTATATAGTGAGACCTTGTCTCAAAAAACCCAACATACCTGTGTGTGTGTGCACACGCACCTACTGAGTCAGGATATGAAGTATAGTCTTTATTAGGGTTTTGGTCAAAAACATCTGAAAGCCAAGGAATTTTAAAATGTCTACTAGATAATCAGAACAGGGGAATCTTATGAAATGACTAGCAACTAAACAAAAACTGGGTGTTTAGCATAAATAAGATGTAATGAGACTCTTACCAATTTCCCTCAAATCACTAAAGAATATTTTCACAGAAGAGGGACCAGCTCCATAAGAAAAAGGTATGATAAGTGGTAAAGTTAATAAAGAGGTCCAAGGCAGAATTGTCAAGTAGCTGGAGCTATTCAAAAGTAGAATGAGATGCCCAGAAGGAATAGTATATTCCCTACTGTAACAGGAATTAGTGAGACAGGAGTTAGGATTCTATTAGATCCCAAAATAGAGCCAGAAAGACCAAAACAGAGTCTGCTGAGTCACAACCCTCCAGGGATCTTAGAAAAACATCTGCCCTTACAAAAAAAAGTCCTTTAGCTATCTGGGACCTCCCTGGAGCATGATCAGGAAGGAGTCTCAAGGGCACATGGGCCCTCCATAAACACTGCATAAATACTAGATAGATTAGATCCAAAAAAATATGTAGTCTCCTATAGGGTAGAGATTATACTGCTTACACAACAGCTCAAGCTCCCTCTAAATCCCTTTAAAAAAACCCTGGAGAAAGAGCCCTCATGAGTATCCTAACTCAGAACTCTCTCCTGGCTAGCAGGAGCTTTACTTCATTGCTTTTATATCTTTTATACTTTCTTGTCTTTACATCTTTTAAATAAATTTGCTCCATCCCCAGTTTCAGTCTTCATCATTGTGGGACACAACCTCGGTGGTTTGGTAACACTACCAATATCTAAAGTAGTAATTACTATATAAGAGCTAAAGGTCAAGAGTTGGTTAACGAAGAGTTTCTACTTTAGGTTAGTAACCAGGACCACACTGTAAAATTATTCTCCTCTCTGAGAGTCAATGAATTATACATATGTCTTCATAGTTGTTATAAATCATGCCAATGTTCTAATCAGATATATATACAATTCACAGAAAGAAAAAAGTACATAAACAATAGGCCATCAGGCATTATAACTTTCATAATTAAATATCTATGCAATACTAAACATCCTGAACAATAAAAGTTTACCTTGTAGAAGATAAGGTATAATAAATTTTTTGTGTAGGTGGGTGTGGTGGTGTAGGCCTGTAATCTCAGCACTTTGGAAGCTGAGGCAGGAGGATCACTGCAAGTTTGAGGCCAGCCTAGGCTACACAGTAAGTTCAAGGCTAGTCTGGACTACATCAAGAAAACAAAAAAAGTTTTTTATGGGACTGTACTTTTTAAAATTATCATTAAAAAAGCTTCTTAAACTAGGGACAGTGGCACATATCTATAACCACAGCTACTTGGAAGGCTGAGGCAGGAAGAGTACAAGTTTGAGCCCAGCCTAGGCAATTTAGCAAAATAAAATAACACCTCAAAATAAAAAATAAAAAGGGTAAGGAGTGTAGCTCAGTGGTAGAGTGGTCCTAGGTTCAATCCCAAGCACACACACACACAAAAAATTACATCAACATACACAAATCCCACCCAATTCTGGCAATACATACTGCTTTCCTCAGGGGTTGACAAAGTTTTCCTTTTTAACTTAATTACATATATAGCTGTCTATCTCCACTTCCTCATCTTAATCTGGCAAGAAATTTCTATATAAGGAAAGGATAAAATGGAAAAGGACCCTAGGACAGCTAAGCTACTCAACCTGAGGACAGAACTTCTGAGAAGACAGATTCAATTATAAGTGCTAAACAGGGGCAAGAGTTTTATTAACCTGAGACTATAACTCATTTTCTTTGCATTTTTCCCTGTGTAGAATTTATTGGTCAGGTGTGGTAGTGCACGCCTGTAATTCCAGCTGAGGCAGGAAGATCGACATGAGTTCCAGGTCAGTCTTGGCTACATAATGAGTTCAAGACCAGCTGTCTCAAAAAAGGAACTTATTGGGCCAGGGATTTAACTTATTGGGCCAAGGATTTAGCTCAGTAGTTCTGCCTCCTGCCTCGCAAGCGCAAGGTCCCGAGTTTGATCCCCAGTACCAAAAAAAGAAAAAAAACCTTATTTCTCTTGGGAACAGTTTTATAGAAAGAATCCAGTTATTGAGGGGAAACTCCAAACAAAGACAAGCAGGATGAAGTATGGGACCAAAAGGAAAGAGGCACAAGGCAGATTATTATGCCTGCTTCCAGGAAAAAGAAGTCCTTCTTGGCAACTCAAATATCAGCACAACTCATCACAGCAAAACAGTCCAATAGAAATCAAAGAATAATTAAGCTGAAATTGTCTTTGTGCCAGAAAATGGTAAGAAGCCATGGCAAACATGACAGTGTGATTTGTTGGCCTACTGAATTTCTCTACAGAAACACTACAAATTCAATTGTGAAAATGGCATGAATTTGCATCCCAAAATCACACTATAATAAAGTCCAAAAACCTAAAATGTATAGAAATATGGCACACTTGACTAACACTGACCATCAATCTCAAATATACTTACAACTTCCAAGTACAGTAATACTTTCCATCATATAAGTCCCTACTAAAGTCATTTGCTACAAAGGCAAAACCACCTATTATTTGCTTGTATTAAAACAAACTAATTGATCATACCCCTTCTTCTGCCTGTAGCAACAAGTTTATATTCAGAGTTTGGAATAACCAAAAGCACAATTCTGACATACTTTGTATATTGGTGAAATGAGATTCAGCCTAAATACTAAAGTCTCAATAACTGATCCTCAAATTTTAAATTCATAAATATAGTTAAAATATTTAATTACAGCTCCAATTCAATAAAGTTTAATATTTATGGTTCTATAAGACTGAACTATTCATCACTTATCACATCCTGTTTTGCTTTGGGTTTTTTTTTTCTTTAACCAATTTATTTTTGTTTGTTTGTTTTGGTACCGGGGATCGAACTCGGGTCCTTGCGCTTGCAAGGCAGGTGGCAGAACCACTGAGCTAAATCTCCGGCCCTTAAGCAATTTATTTTTAAGGACCATGCTCCAAAGGCAAATTCCTGAACCTTAAAATCTAACTATTTATGATACATTCCCAAGTACTCTTCCTAGCTGAGGTGTAATGCAATAGGTTGCCTTCCATTTATTTTCATACATCTTTTTCCCATGGTAATTTTAGAGAGACTATCTTCAAGCGAATATAAATATTTGGCCATTTTCTAACCAGTTGGGTATACATCTGTTGCACAATAAGTAACTTCACATATTCAGCAAGAGAAATGCGTAAGAGTAAAGACTGACACAACTAACTGCGTACAAAAAGAGAATCTGGTCTAAATATTTATTTCTCTGGGGTGAGGGCACCACATTCCCACTCAATTAAGAAAATCATCCTGACAATTCAGAGGATCTTTTTTCATTTTTTAAAGCGGTACTGGTATTGAACTCAGGACTTAGAACACTTTAGCTGAGAGTTAGGTACTGAGCAGCAGAGCTACATCCCCAGCTTATGCAATGAATTCATAAAGAATAGGTTCCAGCAGCTCATACTCCTTCCCTCTTTTCCTCACAAAGTATGCTTCACTGAGCAAGGCACTTCAGTTTAATCCAGACACATTTTACTTTTGCTTCCTTCTTTTTCTGATCATTTTCCTTCATGCTTTTCAAGAAGCTATCACGGCAGTTAATATGCTTAGTACATGCATTAATTCTCTTAGCAAGAATCTTGTCCTTAACTCACTCATTTACAACAATGCCAACAACAGTATGCTGGGTAACACTATAGGCTCCTCCACTTTTGCCATGATAACTTTTGCATGGCATTCCTTTTTTTTTTGGTACGGGGGATCAAACTCAGGTCCTTGCGCTTGCGCAGCAGCTGACAAAACCACTGAGCTAAATCCCCGGCCCTGGTATTCCTTTTTTAACAGTGCCCATTCTCCTGATGTCTATAATATCACTCTTTATATAGATTCACATATTTGTGGCCAAACTCAATGTTTTCCAAAAGGCCTAGAGAACATATATTGGGTTCCTCTCATTTTTCCCTTTGCATTGGTCATTTCAGCAAATTATGAGGAGATGAGAAAGAAAGCTCATCATGTTCTGTTTTTCCTTTAACTTTACTTTTCCAAACTTTACCCTATTGCCTATGAACTTCCTTCGTCATCCTATGAGTAAACTGAGGTCATGGAAGCATAATAAATCAAAATCTGATAGTCCAACTATGTCACAAAGTTCCTGTTTATTTCATAGAGGTGTTAGCCATTTACTTTTAAAAGTAAACATACAAAGGCCGGGGATGTAGCTCAGCGGCACCGCACCTGCCTTGCAAGCACAAGGTCCTGAGTTCAATCCCCCGTACCAAAAAAAAACCACAGAAAAACAATAAAAGTAAATATACAGGGGCCAGGGATTTA